CTTGGAGAAGAGGAGGCTGAAGGGTGACCTCGTTAATGTTTATAAGATATGTAAAGGGTGAGTGTTCAGAGGACAGAACCAGGCTCTTCGCAGTGATGTCCAGTGACAGGACAAGGGGCAATGGATGCAAGCTGGAACACAGGAGGTTCCACAAAGACATTAGAAAAATCTTTTTCACTGTGAGGGTGACAGAGCACTGGAACAGGCTGCCCAGGGAGGTTGTGGAGTCTCCTTCTCTGGAGACATTCAAAACCCACCTGGACACATTCCTGTGTGACCTACTGTAGGTGATCCTGCTCTGGCAGGGGAGTTGGATTAGATGGTCTTTCGAGGTCCCTTCCAACCCCTGACATTCTGTGATTCTGTGATTTGTCAAAAATTTTTTGCTATAACAAGATGGTCTCACATGGACACATTGTAAGACAGCATTAAAAGTTCTTTATCCCTTGGTTTTGGTTGTCACATAGTAGTTACACACTTTAATTATCCTTGCTACTGAAATATCAAATATTTCGTTTCTTTTTATTTCAGATCCTAAATTTTCTTTAATTACTTCTGTATGTTTTTTAACCCCTTTAATAAGTAACAAAACCAGTGACATTTGAAAAGTTGTATCACATTTTTATAGTGTCTTTGCCAGAGCTGCTTGCTTCAGTTGTTTGAAATAATCAGTATTTGTGAATGTTGGCACACAGTCACATTGACTGTATTCCATAAGCTATTGTCCATTAATCGAGCTGAGTGATTGTTTACATACTCTTATCCTGCCTAAATGTTAAGATACAGTGTATCAGCCTACCTTCAGCAAAGGTCAACTGTACTAAGCTTAAACAGTGAAAAGGATTATATCTGGTAGTGTCTTACAGTTTATTTCAGTGAAGATCTGAAACCTGTTTTATCTTTCTTAAATTTAGTATGTTTTTCCCTTATTATTGTTAGTTACCTTGACTCAGGACATGATTGATAAGATCATGATAAGTTCATGATAAGAGACATGATTGATTGTCAGATACCAATAAATTATTTAAAAGTTAAGTAAATATTTTATTTGAAGGACTCTTTCCTTTTATATGTGCTACATGTCTAGATACACACAATTTCTTAATCTTTGGTAACATGAGTAAACAGAATTACAGTGTAATTAGAGAATTACTTCTGGAATACACATAGCAACTTTCATTTAGCATATCTGTGTAGGAGCCATTCTTTCCTTTTCTCATCATGATGGTATCATTATTTTATTATTTTGACATTTATAATGCCTGTTGATTTGTCATATCAAAGCAGACACAACTGAGAATTTTTTTTTCAAGTATTTTCAAAACTGTGTCCATTTCAGAGAGATACTTTTCATAGGATATGTCACAGTATCATATGTAGGTAATCGAATCTTATGTATGATAAATGGAACGTATGTTTTCATCTAGGTCTGCCTATTAATTAGTACTTCAGTGAAAAATAAACTGTCTAGGACTCAGATTGACCATATGCATAGGAACATATTATCACAAAAGAGTGTTTTAAAAAGATACACCATAACCTTTCACCAATAATAATCCTTTTTTCTTTTAGACAGTGTCTTAAGACTCTCTGAGTTTAGTTTCTCAGTAAATGATTAACTGCACAATTAGAATTATTGAGAGTCGGTAGAACAGTGTTATGAAATGTTGGGAAAATTCATCTCTCCTGAACGCATTGTTTACTTGCTCATATCTCTTGACAGTTGTGGAGCCAGAGTGTGAAAAAAGTTCTGCAACCACTTTTTACTGGTACAGAGAAGCGCTGAATATTTCCAGCTCTCTGTCAGAGAGCGGAGGTTTAAACTGGAAGATGACTATCTGCTTGCTGGCTGCCTGGGTCATGGTATGCCTAGCCATGATCAAAGGCATTCAGTCTTCAGGCAAGGTAAGTATACTGTTCACCTAAGTGACGGTGTCATGCTTCTAAACATCTAGTGACATTTTTGTTCACCACACCCTCTATTTATTCTCTCGGGAAATCTGTAGGAGCAGGTTAGAAGGTGTGACTCACCCCAGTATTTGTATAGTCTCAAGTAGAGGAATGTTAGTAGTTAAGCATTAAAATTGTAGTAATTTTGGTGGGAATTGTAGTTATTTAGTGGGAATCGAGATCTGAAGAAGAATTATTTCTGTTGTCGTCAACATAAGTCTTGCAAAGAGTTGTACCTCAGGTTTTACTGTGCAGTGTAAGCCTGTGTGTTTCTGAATGTCTAAGGAATTAGGTTTCCCTGTGTACGCACAGTATGATTGCAGTGCACCCAGGTCTCAATATGCCTTCCCATTTTTCTTTTTATTGTTGCTGTCGTTGCTATCCATACTTCTGTGCTTAATGCAGCTGCTTTTCAGAATTACAGTTTGTTTCTTTTGACTAATGACTAACCGTCCTTTTGCATCTGAGTATGTCACCTTGTCTTTTTTCCTTTCCATGCAGGCAGCTGGATTGGCTAGTGAATGGCTTGCTAGCTCTCTTGGTCTCGGTGGGATTTTCAGATGAAAAATAATCTGTTCTAATAGCAAAATTCTTTGGTATTAAAAAGTTTGGCACTGAGATGGAAATCACTGTGTATCTGAGTCCAAATTAGTGTATTTCAGTTAGAGAAACAGCTAGCAAGTTTAGTGAGAGAATCAGTGGACTAAACTTCTAAGTATAGAATAGATTTGCTTTTTAATGAAGGAGAATGAAAGATAGTGTTTGATTACTAGTTTTTTTCATTTTAGCAGTAGGCATTACTCAATGATTTGAATCCATTGGTTATGTACTTTCAATTGACTCTTGTCTTCTCTCCTTCTGAAGGCACAATGAGTTTGTATTCGTGCTGTGTATCTTTCCCATACTGTGTGCTTGAATCAAAGTGCATTTGTAAAGTGAAATGTTTCTAACACAGTCCACTTGTGTGCTTGTCGTCATCTCATTGAATTTGCACTGATTTTCCCTGGAAGCCAAGCAGTTTGTTATCAGTTAGTCAGCACAGTGGCAACCGTATTGTTTTAATACAGTACAGAATTTGTTTTACAGTCATGTGATTTTTCTTTCTTCTGCAGACACAAGGGCAATGAAAAGTGTTCTGTATATTTCTTAGAGCATATGGTTATCAGTCATATATCCAAAGGATACTGAGCAGTGAATGAAGATATTGAAAATAAAGTCCATGGATGTCATATTAAATTTCTTCTTTATGTTTTTCAGATCATGTATTTTAGTTCCCTTTTTCCTTATGTGGTCCTTTTATGCTTTCTGATCAGAGGACTGCTCCTTAATGGGTCAGTGGATGGAATTCGTCACATGTTCACACCTAAGGTATGTGCTTAATTTCTGTTTGCAGTGTATTTTAAGTGGCAGTTTGACCATTTATGAATGCTATCATTTAAGCTTATTGTCTTTATAGAACATTTGGCCATATTTCTGTTTGGTTAAATTGCAAAATTGTTGTTGACCTCAGTGGCGCAATATCAAGCCGTAAGGTCTAAAGGCTCTAAGTGTTCCAAGGTTCTGTGTAGAGTTACCTCCCCTAGGTGAATTATTCCCAGAGTTAGATGCCTTTACAAAATTAAGCAAAAGAAAGTGCTATTTACAGAATTCAGCATGTTTAGAAAACTCCAAATACTGAAAAGAGAGGTGAATCTTAAATCTCGCCTTTCTCTGGGATTGATACCTGGTTCTGGGATGTCACAGTGAAATGCCTTACCTTGAACCCTGTCATGGCTTTGCATAATTAACTTGTCCCTTTTGAATGAGGACAAATTTGTTCCTTTTTAGAAATAAATTAATGCTGGTTGCATAATAGTCCAAAGTAGAGGAGACTTGTCTTTATTAAAGTAGTGTAAGTACTCACCACTCACCTTTCCTTATGGTTGTTATGCCAAGATAGAAGCAGGTCTAAGCACACTTTTTTTTACTGTCAGCTTTATTACCTGAAATGTGCCTTACAGAACTTCAGTTTTTGTAACTATAGAGGTGAAAAGGGATGTTACCAATCCCTGTCTAGCCTGAAGACCTAAATTTTAACCACACACATCTTGAATGCTTGTAACTGTATCTGTACTACAGGAAGAGCATGTTTGCATAGTTAGAGACATACTCAGGAATGCGTAATGCTTTACTTCATAGTGTATTATGAAATGGACTTTCCAACAGGTTCATTTCATAATACAGTCGAGCAGAACAGGACTGATGTTTCAAGATTGAAGCCGAATAATAAGATGATTAAAATCAATGCCCGTAGTGGCTAATGCCAGATGGCAGCTTGTTGACAGTTGTATTGATTCCAGGTGTTTTGAGTCTCTGCAGGACTGTTATTCTATAAAAACAGCCTTTATTGGCTGTCACGTTATTTCTTGCATCGTAATACGCAGTTATGTTCTGCTTCACTTGCTATCACTGCTTTAGAGACTTGTGGTTCTGCAGGAACTTGCAGGCTGCTCAGGCAAATTTGGAAAATCTGAGGAACAGAGAATTGTAATGCTTGCTGATGAAGTCTGTAGGAAAGATGGAATATGGGCCTCTTGAAGTTTTAATTTTGATTTCTGAACTGCAGTGTTAATCCTTTCTTTAATTAGGGAAGTACCATTAGATACTAAGGGAAAGTAAACAGTGAAACTCCTCTTGAATACCAACACCTCTTCTTTTTACTATTTAATCTTTCATGAGTTAGACGTAAAATAAGTTGCAGCTGTTGCTGACTTTATAGTTACATTATAACTTAATTGTACAATTATTTCAGGTGTTCAGAAAAATGAACTTGAAAGAAAAATTGGTTTAAATTTCTTTTACCGGTTCTGTATCTCAAAATTTAAGTTGTGGTTTAAATTTGATGTTAGAATACCTCACCTGTCTGTCACGTGCACTATATGTGAATATAAACACTCGAAAGTATTTTTATTATAATCTCGGATTGTTTCTGTACTTGAGCACTAATTTGGACTGTAGATTCATATGAAACTAACTGAAGAAATTCAGACTCCCTCTATTGTGCTAACAGTTGATTTGAGCAGACAGACTGTAAAAAGGATTGCTAAATTGATCTAGCTTGAAAATTATCCAGGTAGATAGGCATGAGAGGGAAGGGGGAAACACCTTTTCGGTCTCAATTGGTTCAGCAAACATTTTAACCGTAGATGATCACAACACATTCCCGCAGAAGAGTTGTGTAAGCACAGCAGAGGACTGGTACACATTGGTGCAGGTGAGAGAGTGGAGGGATAACGAAGAAAAGGAGAGTTTCTTTGTTTGGTGTGCTTGATGAACAAACTAGAAGTTCTAAATAATAACCATAATTAAAAACTAATGAAAGCTACAGGAAAAGCCCACTGAAGTCAACCAGGGCAATGAATCTGTAGGACGTTATCAAGCTTAAATACAGGACCCCCCCAGATTTCATAGAAAGTATCTTATAATAGCAATACAATTACAAGCTCATTTTAAAATGCTACGCAATGTATACCTGAGAACGTACTTTGATGATACCAGATGATCTGTTGCAGAAAGTGAGACAATGGTTTATGGCGTTGATAAAATTAAGAATAATCCTCGAGCTCCCTCCAGTGGAAAAACTCTAGCATGGCTGTGTGGTACAGGCAGGCTGAACTGTGTGCAATAGCTACTTGTGCATTATAATTCCAACAAAAATTGTAAGGAATGAGTTTATTGTAATAAATACCCTTTAAAATATATTTTAGCTATATATAAATTAATAAAGAAGGTATCTGTTACCTGTATATAATAAATAGGGGGAATGTTTTAGAAATGTTACAACAATGGCAGATTTTTTCTCCTCGTAGTAGACTGTCGCTCTAATGATGCTGGTATCTATACTGATACTTTTTAGTTTTATTAGTTTTGGTAAGCTTGAGGTTTAAAAAAAATTTACATGCATAGATGTAAGGTCTTTCACTGTTAAATGAATGGAGACCCTGAATCAACTTGAAAAAATCTAATGTTTAAATTTTGCATGTACTTCTTGTATATGATTTGGAATCTAGAAGAATCTGAGATAGGCAGATGATGACTCATAACTTTGTAACAAAGATATTTCTTGACGTATGGTCATCTGAATGAGCAGTACAGTTCATTTTTTTTTTTTGATAAAAGCCTTAATTGTCCCTCAAACGCATGACCCATTTAACCTAGGGGAAATTCAAAGCATTTGGCTTAAGGGAGATTTGACTCGCGGACTGTACTGATTGTGGTGGCCAGTATTTATTTCATATGTTGCATTTTGCTTTACATATTTGCATGTACTAGAATTCTACATAAGCATGTGTATCGCATTTTTTTCTAAAAAGAAAGTAACAAGGCAACTTTAAACATACTTAATGCATTTATAAGAGAGTTGATCATCCCAAAACACATCTTAATTCTAACAACTGTCAACACATATACTGAAAAAAAAAAGACAGGAGATGATGGATGTTCTCAGTATAACTAGCTGCTATTTACATTATCGTATAGCTCCAGTAGTGTGTCATTGCTGGGAACATTTTGGATGATTAGATCATACAAAATAAATAGAAATTTTGGCCTGTAATTTCGCTCAACTTTAGGTATCAAATTTAGCTTTCATTTTATTGTAATGAAAATATGTTTGTAGTGGAGTATTAGCATTTTATGATATAGGTTGTCTCCTTGTTTTTTTTTTTTTCTTTTTTTTTTTTCTGTTGTCTTTTCATATAATAGCAATGCATTTTATACCTGACATATATTATATCTAATTTCAAACAGCTTGAAATAATGCTGGAGCCCAAGGTCTGGAGAGAAGCTGCTACTCAGGTGTTCTTTGCCTTAGGGCTTGGATTTGGTGGAGTCATTGCCTTTTCAAGCTACAACAAGAGAGACAACAACTGCCATTTTGATGCTGTACTGGTGTCCTTCATCAATTTTTTCACTTCTGTGCTGGCAACTTTGGTGGTGTTTGCAGTTCTGGGCTTCAAAGCTAATATCATAAATGAAAAATGTGTTATCCAGTACGAATATCCATTTCTTTTTTATAAATATTTTTTGGTATATTTCATTTATGACTTAAAACAGATCATTGAATTTGATTACTCTGGCTTGTTCTGTTTTACAGAAATTCAGAGAAGATTTTAAAACTTTTGAAAGTAGGCAATTTGAGCCAGGATATGATCCCACATCATATCAATTTCTCAAGCATTACAGCAGAAGATTACAATTTAGTTTATGACATTATTCAGAAAGTTAAAGAAGAAGAGTTTGATTCTCTTGGTCTGAAATCTTGTCAAATTGAAGATGAACTTAATAAGGTGAGAGTAATAAGTAAGTCTTAAATACAGAGATTATGAATGGATAAATATTTATACAGAGGTGTACATGTTCGACATCTTAAATTATTATGTTTTCTAATGTTAAGATACTGTTATTAAATGTACATACCATTCCACTAGAAAGTAAAAACCATTCTTTAATGATGAGATAATTGTTTAATGAATACCATCCCACTCTGAAATCTTCGCAGTAAGCCAGATCTGTAGAAAATAAGATATTTTTCTATCTTTTTCAGAGGGTCTTCCAGTTTTAAACACTGGCCTTTGTATAGTTGCACCAGCATCTGAAACTAAAATGTCAAATCAGTGACTTAGACATTAAAAATTTCTGTAGTATTCTTGCCATTTAAGTTTGAAACAAATAGGTATAGAAGTGAAGTCCTTTCTATACTTAATGGAGAAACAGAGTGTATTTTGTAGCAGTCCAGTATAATAGATCTCATGCAAAATTATCAGTGAGAGAGAGGAAGAAGTTCTGATTGGACACAAGAGGAACATTTTTCACAATGAGAAGAATCAGCCTTTGGAATAATCTCCCCAGGGAGTTGATGGATTCTCCCAACACTGGACACTTTTAAGATTCATCTGGACAGGGTGCTGGTCCATCTTCTCTAGACTGTGCTTTTGCCAAGAAAGGTTGGACCACATGATCCTTCAGGTCCCTTCCAATCTGTTATGCTATGATTCTATGAAAGAAATGTGTTGTTAATATCTATTGAGTTACAAGTTCTCAGGCAAATCCCGTGTATCAGTAAATAGCATTGTTTGCAGTTGCATATTAAATAGCAACTTTCACTCTACCATCAAGATTTAATCAAAGACATTGCATGAACACGAAATTCATACTACAAAAAACATACTCTCCATGAATAATAATGTGGATTTTTTCTCACTGACAGGCAGTTCAAGGAACTGGTTTAGCTTTTATTGCCTTTACAGAAGCAATGACTCACTTCCCTGCTTCTCCCTTCTGGTCAGTCATGTTCTTCCTCATGTTGGTAAATTTGGGACTTGGAAGTATGTTTGGAACCATTGAAGGCATCATCACACCCATTGTTGACACCTTCAAAGTCAGGAAAGAAATTCTTACTGGTGAGTTACACAAACTTTCTTTTTTCACTAGAGCAGTAAGCGAATTTATATTTCTCTTGAGAGCCTGAAGCCTTGTTTTTTGAGATAAAAGTTTTCAGTGCTGACATTTTACAGATCAGTAAGTCACTGTATTCCAGACTGTTCTTCCATGTACAGGCAAAAGTAAAATTCTTTCCTGAATGTTACAAGAGCAAGAACATTCTAGAATTAAAATTTTAAAGGAGATCTTTTGTTAGAAATTTCTGTATGAGCTCTTCCAGAATGCTTTGTGTTCCAGCCTGTGTCACACATCAGGGAAACAAAGGGAAGAATGAAAGTACAGTGCCAATTACTAGAAGTTACTCCTAAGCAGGCCAAATGAAATCTTAGTTTATGATGGAATATTTATTAGATTAAAAATCAGTTCAGGTACTTTCTAGAGGAACACATTTTTCCATTGAATGTGGAAAGGGTCTTAAACAAGATGTTCTTTGGGTTTTTTCTTTGGTTGTTTTTTTTTTTTAAAAAAAAAATTTAAATGCCTAAAATTATGTATAACTCTTATGATCTTCTAGAAATTTCTCCTTCTGAGACGGAACATCAGCATAAAATGTATTTTTTTTCTTTGCTAGAACTAAGAATAAAATTCTTGATAAAGATAAATCGACTGTTTTTTCAGTAGTCCCAACCTACTGAGGACCACTTTGGGTTTTTTTTTCTGTCTTTTTATTTTTTTTAACCAGATCCTAAATTTGTATTGAATAACCAGTGAGACGTTTAGAAGTTGGCTGTTTTGCCTAATCATATATGCAAATACTGTGATATATAGTCATTACTCTGGAGTAATGGAGCGTTTTGCAGTAATTCCTTGTTATTACATTTGACAAAAGAACCTATTAAGATAAAGGAAAAGTCAAGAACTGCCTTTCTCTTGTAATTTTTTTGAGTGGTATGGATGCATGATTTTTGCTAAACTCACTTGTACTCAAAGGATTACAACTCAATGTGGTGTTTTTATAATTAACTTATAAAATTGAAATGCCTGGGTTATACTTGATGTAATATTTGGGATTTATCAAGCATTATGCCTGCACTAGAATTTGTGCTTAAAACCACAAATCTTCAATTTTTGCACAGCGTGAGCGTATTTGCAGCTTTTTAACACTATGGTCCCAGTTCAGTCCCTCTTGAGTTCAGGGAAACCAACTCTTACTTCAAAGTATTTTACATTCAAATATATCCAAATCAGGATCAGAATGTGTATGTGCAGAGTTAATATGAGTATACCTACCAGAACCTTCGTTTAATGCATTTTATAGTGTGTAATGGTAAGACCTAGTGAGAGAACATGAGAACAGCAAGGATTTTTTTCATTCACATATGCACAGTTCTCATTGTCTTACTCTTTTCTCAGGGTCAGTAATAAAACCAAGTGTGAAAGATGAGTCTCAGGTCAAGGATATTTTATCTGTGTTCTTTTGGTTTCATTATCTGGCATTAGGAGTTCACATCAGTTTGTAATGATCTCTTTCATTCTATAAATTTCTGTTCTCTGAAAGTCATTATAACAATAATTCCAACAAGGTTGAAAAAAGTGACTGCTCTTCCACCACAGTATTTAAAAAAGAATGTTGTTGTCTTCCTTTCACTACTGTAATCAATACTAATTGATTATCAGGGATTTATGCAATGGGTATATTCTGTAAGGATATTTTATATTTTGTCCCAGATGAATTTTGTTTAATTTTAGACTCCTTAGGTGTATCATTAGCCTAAGTTCCCAGTGGGGGAAAAAAACGGCACTTCAGGTGGGAGAATCAGTCTTATTCATGCTCAGCCTAAAATGGATTTCACAATTTATTGAAGATTGACTTATTTTATGGCTACTTCAGCATTCGATCCTATTCTTGATGAATTTAATAGGAAAAAAATGCATGGAGGTTAATTATGCAGGATCAAATGTTCAAGAAATTTTTTTCAGGTTGCCCCTAAAAAGAAGTGGGGTCAGAAACAATGCTTAGTGCTCATATACATTTTGATAGATCCTAATAAAACTTCATACTGTGAATGATCTTCTAGGGGAAGTCTATTCATCCCTTATATTTTTTAGAATCGCAATCTGAAAATTCGTTTTTTCTCATTCCTAAATTTCACTTCTAAAGTCCAAAATTCCTAAATGCTAATGACCAAATAACATGATGTATAATGTTTAGCTTACTAGTTCTTTTTATTTTAGCCTTACATTCACATTAAGTTACATGTTTGATGAGAAATAGTCACTTGATTAATCATTACTGCTTGATCAGGACTGCTCTAATTCTAATTTTATAACTTTCCTGTTATGTAAGAAAGTCAGTAGGATTTCTCATATTCTTATAATTGAGACCCCCTAAAAAGTAAAACATCAGCTTCATATGAAATAATGTGTTAAAGTATATCTTTGCTCTTTCAAACTCTATTTCCTTTTCCTTTGTAATAACTACAGCTCAGATTTCTGTCCTTTATTCCAGTCATCTGCTGCTTAGTAGCATTTTTTATTGGCCTGATCTTTGTGCAGCGCTCTGGAAACTACTTTGTGACGATGTTTGATGACTACTCAGCTACACTGCCCCTGCTTATTGTGGTCATTTTGGAGAATATTGCAGTCACACGGATTTATGGAATAGACAAGTAAGTGAAGGAAATGTATGCCCCTGTCCATACCAACAATATTCATTACAATAATTATTACTGTTTTAATTGTGATGAGCGAAGTATTTCCATTGTATACATAAATATAGGCAAGTGGGAAGTGGGTTAATCTGGCCATGAATCTAGTCTGGTTTTAAGAAGTGATTTGGAGCAAGATACATAATGCATCAGGACAGCATAGTGAAACCCAAAGACTGATTGCAACTGATCCAAAGCGAGGAGAATGCAGTAAAAGAGGCAACATTACAGAGTTAGGAAGGAGGCTGTGTATCAAGTAAGAGGATTTTATACAGAAATAAGAGAGCAAGAGAAAGATTTCAAGAAGTAATAACTGTGGTCTAAGCAGCAGATGAGGGTATGTATTCTAAACAGATCTGCAGTATTCCAGGCAGCCTGAGAAAGGAACAAAGGAAGCTCTAATGGCAGTAACAATAAGAAAGTTTCAGTTTCTGAGTTAGATATAGTTTGGAGTGTTGTAGCAATTAATAGTTCCTTGCGTTAGTTGTGAGAAAGGAAATAGAAGATAGCAAAGAACAGGGCCAAAAACTAGTTGGAAGCAGCACGGTTGACAATGACGTGAAGTGATCTTCTATCAGTGATGATTGAAAGTCCATAAAGTCCGTTTAATTTTTTTACATCTTATGACTCAGATCACTCAGAATGTGTTCACTGAGATCAGTGTGTGCCATATTTAAGGAATAGGAGGGTTTCTATAAAAAATAACTCATGCCATCCACAGATAAACCAGTTTGCTATAGTAGCATGTTGAAGTAATTGAAACATCTGTGATTCCTTTACATGTACAAAGGGTGACATAGAATGGATGTTTTTTCATTTGACTTTTCTCTTTTTCAATCTGAGTAATCAACCAGTCCCTCGCCATAATGAAATAAAACTATAATAAGAAGATTTGATTTTATGGTTTCCAGACACTGTTTCTGGTCTATGCAAGTCAGGCCTGGTCTCCTTACTCATTAAAGTAGAATTCTTGCTTGAGCTGCGTGTATAATTATATAATTGATCACATGGACATGAAAACACCACGTAGATATTTTTACACATGCAAGCAAAAGATGAAACAGATGACCTTGTTCTCAGGTTGGTAATGGCCAGTCAGGAATAGTTCCACTATGAAGGGAGTCAGCAACTTACATGCGAGGAAGTTAGTGTTTAGGTGTAGCTAAAATGTGGTGATACTTTGCTCCCGAATCAGAGTGCAGTTGATTCGTACTTTCAAAAGGGTTTCTGACAGGGTATAGTGAAAAGTTAACAGCAAAATTTATCATTCATAGCAGCCACCTGAACCTCCCTCTGGAGTATTCCTGGTATTTCTTCCAGTATATATTTCTTCAGAATGTCCTGTCTTGGGAACCTAGCATTCCTGTTTGGAAAAACTGCAAGAATCAAGTCACTGTCTATGACAGGAGCAAGGGGTCCTCCTTGTATATGAAGATCCGTTAGATACATTGTCTCTGGTCAAATAGAAAAACCAAACCTGTGGCTTCCAAAAGGATTGTAGCCAAAGGATGGAAAAAAGACAACATGTGAATCCCTGTAGCCAAGAAGGAAAATCTGCTGCACTGGAATCAGTGCTAAAGGAGCTTGGTAGCTTTTAAAAGTGGATAAAAGTGGATAAATAGGATGGGCTGATGAAAGACGTTAAAGACAATAGATTTGTGTTCAACTGGATGAAGAACTGGAGGTCCCAGAAGGAAAAGGCTACCCAGAGAGGGCACAATGTGTTTATAAATTTAATTTTTTAAACTATTTTCATTGCAGCGCAAACAAAGGATAGAATACCCCAAATGAGGCAGTTCAAAACTTTTCTGAGACTTTATATGATAGTAGTTTCACATGTGTAACAGCTTTGAAAACATTTTTATTGCTATAAGAGTTTTTTTGAGACACACATTTCAAAAGGGAGTGGGACCACAAGAGAGTTAAAACAGAATCAGCGCTTTTGCACACTCCAAAAGAATTAATTCTAAAAATATTATGTCTTATTCTACTGGCTCTGGAACTATGTACTCCTTCGTCAAGAGTACAAAAATAGACGTTATGTTCGTATCAGAACTTGCAATTCTGAGGCACAAGGAGGCAGATTTAAAACTTCACAAAATTTTATTTCAGCAACTTACATGATGCAAACCACAGCTTATGCATAAAATTATTTTTTACACTGCAGCACATATGTGGGTTTGAAATTAATTTTTCAAAATCTCTAAGATGTGCTGGTTGTGTATGTCCTGAAAAGTAATGACACATGCCTCAGTAGACAACATAAAAAGATGAAAAAAAAGATCTTATAAAAGAAAGGTGAATTTAAATATAACCCCAGCATGGTTCAGCAAGCAGTTTACTAGGTCACTGCACTGCATGGTGATTTGTTCTGTTCATCTGTTTTGAACTAGTAATACATGCTATATTTGTAATCCCATCAAATAATCTAAACTGCAGCCATTTCTGTATGTGCGTTTTCTCGGTGTGTCCTTACCCTGAAATTAGGTGCTGTGTGTCAATTATAGAACTTTACATCTCAGTGTATGCATTAACAATATCCTTTTACTCCTCTTACAGATTTATGGAGGATCTGAAAGATATGCTTGGGTTTTCTCCAAGCCAGTATTATTACTACATGTGGAAGTATGTTTCACCTTTAGTACTGTTATGTTTGCTGGTAGCTAGCATTGTCCAAATGGGATTAAGTCCTCCTGGCTACAATGCTTGGATTGAAGATACGGTACGTATATAACAGGTGCCATCATCATCATAATGATCATATCTGAAGTATTTCAGAAATAGATGAAAAGACAAAAGATTTTCCATTAGGAATTCAAAATCAGTATAGCTAATGACATGATTGTTTTTATCTCAAGTAATATTAATGTATTTTGAGTAGTTCTGTTTTAAAATTAACTGACAAGAACCTTCATGCTTTTTGTGACTTTTAGTTTGTTGATGTACATTGAAGAAATTCTTAAGGTTAGGAAAGGGTGTTCACTTTCATTAAATCTTTTTTTACGGCAGAAAATAGTTGGGTGATAACACTGAATAAATCATCACATCAATTCTTTATGTGGAATTAAATACTGAGATTCAGTCATGTCACAAATTTTCCCCTGTGGGAACACATATCACATTGTAGGTAACAGCTGCATTAAAACCTGATTCTGGTAAGAATGATTTGTAAAAACTCAAATACAAGGGGTTGGCTTTTCTATGGGTAGATGCCTGCCTCTAACCAGACACTCACTCTATTTTCTTGAGGTTCTCAGAGAAACATGCCTGTTATGTTTGATACTTGCCCTCAAAAATTAAAAAGAGAAATATCAAAGAATACCAAGCATACCATTACTTTCTGTGTAAAATCAGGCAAGCTGAAGTCTGTTGGCTAGTGATTCACAGATGCAGCAGAGATGTGGGGTGTAGTCACTGCCCCAGTAAATGTATTGCAGTTTAAATGAAGTTTATACAAAGCAGAACAATTCCACAGGGTGACCTGAGACAGTCTCTGCCTATTAGCCTGCAGAGCAAGGACACATCTTCCAGGCAGAGCTACCAGTTCTGAACATCCTGTGAAGGATTAGGGAAAAACTACTGACAAATGTAGCAGAAAGCCAAACGTGAAAATTTTGATTTGGTTTCTGCTTGAGTGCTCTGAGCATCTCAAACTGTGGGGCGGTGTTTGGTCCTGGTCATTGACAGAAGGATGGCAATCCTACATCTCCATGAGGTAGTAGTGCCCACACTGTGGGTTCAAGGTAACAAAAAGATGAGCCTGCATTTGAAAAATGCAGGCCTTGATGAGGACTGCGGGTTTACTCTTTTTTGAGTAAGGATGTGTTAATAGTTTTTCTCTTGGGTTACTCAGGCCACGGAAGAGTTCCAGAGCTATCCAACATGGGGAATGATTGTCTGCATATCTCTGATGGTGTTAGCCTTCCTGCCAGTCCCAATAGTCTTCGTGGTGCGCCGTTGCAACCTTATCGATGACAGCTCTGGTAGCTTAGCATCTGTATCCTACAAAAGAGGCCGGATAATAAAGGAGCCTGTTAATCTGGAGGGAGATAATACAAGTCTGATTCATGGGAAGAGTCCAAGTGAAGTGCCCTCTCCCAATTTTGGCAAAAACATATATAGAAAACAGACTGGATCACCAACTCTGGACACTGCTCCAAATGGACGTTATGGTATTGGGTACCTGATGGCAGATATGCCTGATATGCCGGAGTCTGATTTGTAACTGCAGGAAAAAAAAGTTGTTTCTTTCTCCTCGCTCACTGATCACAGCTCTCCTACGAGAAGTGGTCAGCTTCACGTACTAGGGTGCGATCTCAGGTGCTCCATAGCAACACTCTTTAAAATGCCATGACTGTACATACAGGTTGAGAAAACTCCTTTTGGATTAATTCTCTGGGGTTTCTTTTGCACTGAAGGGAACACATTCAAAATCAATGGCAGTCTACATCTGCCAGCATAGCCAAGAATTCAAGATTTTAAATTATTTCTAAATTTAAAGCTTTCTATCTCTGAAGTCCAGGTCTTATTCAAATGGTAAAGTGTTTCTGAGGTAATATCACTGAAAATCCTTTTCTTCTGCTTTCACGTTAACTCCCCAGTATTAAAAGTGAGCTCAGAAGTAGTTCACCAAACCCGTGTTTGTGTAAACACTTGTACATACCTTATGTAGATATGCTGTACTTATTTTGTTAGCACTGATAATTACTTAGGCTATTAGCTGAGTAAAAAACAAACCCGCAAACTATTTTCTTATGTAATAGCTGTATAGAGCAATAGTATTAGAAAATCTAGGAGTAGACTTACAGGAAGATGAGGAAGGATTCCCTGTTCACTGGGGACTGCATAAACTGTGGCTGTATATTTTGTGTAAAATAGTTGCTTTTTCAGTGTGAAAACAATGTTAGAGTGAGTCACTCCAAGAATCTTAAGGATTGTGCAGATTCTGCATTTTTTTCTATGCTGTGTGCCTAAAAAAGACCTTCTTGATATTTATTGTGGTTTCCAGATTACATATATATTATATTTATATAATATACTTGTAATGTAAATATGTATATTATTCTGTATGTAATCATTTCAAAAGTTGAAGCAAGATGGCTTTTTTTAATTAGTCTCCTTCAGTTTTGCTTCTGTTTTATGCAGATAATTTTTTTCAGTCAGTAATTGTTAAGAACTGTATGGCATTACATTTTAACCTATGAATAAAGAGATTGACAAGGTATTTCTCCGTGATTTCCTAATATACTTACGCACAGCCTACTTTTCCCTCAGGTGGGCTGTCTGAAAGAATAGCATTTACCAGCTGAACAGAGATGCTAAAATGAACCTGGCAAAAAAAAAAGGTGCTATGTTGGTCATCTTAATAAACTGTTGGACAAAGACTTTTACTGTGAATACAGTAGTTGTGGTAATGCTGTCAACTGGTGTGACACGCTGGAAGCTAGTACATAAGTTATTACTTATCTTAAAGAGCTTTAAAGTTAGCTTCACTACCTTTAATAAACAAAGGTTATAACTTAGTTACGTCATCCCAGCATCAGACAAAGAACCAAATTAATTTGAGGTAAATACAAATCTCAGCAACTGTGTGCTTCCAAGAGTACAGTTTTGAGCATGTCAGTGTGGGAAAGCTGCGCCAAAAAATGAAAAGGAATGAAATCTTAAATCGAAACACTTTGCAACTTGATAAAATTCCTTAGAGATAACTTTTGGGTTTGGAGGATAATCCCAGATAATTTCACATTTCTGATCTGAGAGCTGTTGAAATAGTTTCCAATCATCAGAAAGTCGAACTAGTAGCAGTAGTTGAGAAAAAGCTATATTTAATTATCAGGTTTATCTTATGTTTGTTAGAAGTTGTGAGATAAAATAGGGTTTAAGCAGTCCTCTGAAATGCAGATATCGGAATGCACGGGAGAGAGCTGGCATAATTTAAGCTGTTGGTTTATTCATAACGGGTCAATTGACACTTGTAGTACAGGTACACTGGATCACCGTGAGACATAGAGCAAGCTAATGCAAAATATTCCAGCTGTGGCAGAGCAGCAGCAGATGTCTACCGTCATACCACATCAGGCTGCTGAAGGCAACGACTGCTCAGGGTAGTTGACACGCATCCCCTCTGTGCCCAGTGTGCAGAGCAAAAGCCTGGTCTTACGGACTACTTGCCTGTAGTGACAATATGCTTTTAGCTATATAGACCCTAGTTTTAAAGGTGAAGTGATGGCTAAATTCTGCTGCTACACAAGACCTGTTAAAAAGGATATGAGTGAGATGGTAACTATCCAAGTGCAGAAGTCACGCTTCTATTTAAAGCACCACAAAGGGGACTAATGCTGCTTAAGGAGACTGCTGAAGATTATTCTGCTGAGGAATATATATCTTGTTTCTGCCCTTTTTCCTGTCTCCTTGAACACCTTAATGAGTATTTATATTTTCCACTCATTTAAACTACTGCTTCTCAATTAGTCGCTTCCTAATAACTCCAATTAGCATATCTTACCACAGCTTCACAAAATTTTTCAGGCTTGAGGAAGCCCAGAATGGGCTTATCCTACCTACTGCCAGATGTTCGATTCATAATTTGATTTTAACCATGACTGAACATTCTCGTTTGCAGAAGTTCCTTTAACCTGGTGTAGTCTGATGGGCTAAAAATGAAGGCACTGTCTGTCCTGCCTTTTAGGCAGGACTGATCTAAAAAAATAACTAAGTGTGGAGGTTTAGAAACATTAAAAATAATTGCTATAAAGTGTAATATCTAAGCACTTGGATATTAATGTAAGAACAGCTGAAGCAAAGTGTGAAATTGTATGTACAGTTGCTCTTAAAACCAAGGGAATTCATACTTTCATACTTTAACTTCTGGAGTAAGTTGCTTCTTGCTGTCCTTATGGATCAAAGGAAGTAAAAGAGAGTGGAGGGCAGGAGAGAGAGGTTTCAAATATTTATCTACTTAAAAGCAAGAATGTTTGTGTGCCATGTCAGTCATAACCACAATTCATTTGCCTATTTTTTAAGGAAAAGATCATTGTGAAAGCAGTCATGCTTAAAAAAAATTTATAAAAAATTACTGTTTGTGTCTTACACAATCAGAAATAGCCAAAGAACAAAATCATCCATGTGGAAAGTGAAAATAGAGTTCCAGTATAATTTATTGCACAAGACCTAAGGTTTCTGAAACTAATATTCTTTGTGAGATCTGATTTCTCCAAAGAAACGTAACAGAACCAGTCAGCATCAGTGTGGCAAAAACAAACGCTGTGTCATTACCTCTGTACTCTTCAACAGAGGTTCTCTAATTCGGTGAAATGCAGGACAGAGATTATACGGATCTTGTTGTCTGTTTTTAGTCTTTTCTGATACATTAAAATTTTATCAATTTTATCAATACCTCACAGAGTATCATGCAGAGAAGAAAAAAAGATAGCAGAGAAAAAAGAGATGAAAAAAAAGAGAGAAAAAAATGGTGAATATTAGCTCTCTTCTCAGAGAACAGCAGATATATGTTAGCTGATGAGTGGTGCTAATAAGAGTGACAGAGATCTTGCCACACTGGAGAGGAATCAGTTATGTTTGTGATAGCAGTAGCACTGAAAAGAAGGATGTGTTTGCAACAGGGGTTTAGATATTCTGAAAAAAATGTCTTGGCCACCATGAAAGACTTAACATGCACTATTCAGCTGGATGCAGTGTACTCCAAAAAAGTCTTCCTACAGCTACAACATCTTTGAGAAACTTGCAGAAGTATAGTTATGCCAGTTTTAAAAAATGCAGGAAATTTAATATAAACATTTAAAGGTCTAGTTAGATTCAGTGGTTTGAGGAAAAAGAGAGGGAATTGGGAAATAGAAGATGTGATTTACTTCCTTTGCCACTGGATGGTGCTCATATTTCATGCATGTCAGTAAATTTAAAAGGAGGAAAATGCTGTATTTTTCTTTTCTACCAAGACAAAGAACTCTTTAGAATGATCGTGGTATTGCTAAAACTCAGAACTTTACTAATCTTCAGTACCTTTAGCTGCTTTCATAAGTATCTGATTTTTTTTATATCCAAGAAAGAAAGATGCAAGAAATGGTAGTCAAAGTCACAGCACACTGTCAGTATCCCAGTGCCAAGTAGTACACTTTTGGATCTTGAGAGTAAGCAGCAGCTTCATGATTCTCTATTTTAAAATCAGTGATTTTCTAATATGCTGTTTTTCAAAAATCCTACTGCTTGCTATTCTAATTTCTTAAATTAGCAGATTATTTACTTGGCAATTTAATTAGTGGAATAAGAGAATCAGGCTATAATAATCACTACAGATATTATTAATAAAAATACTTCAGTGCTTCTCACTGTCATCAATAAGTGTTGCAATGAGGTAGATGAGAGCTGAGGGGACAGCAAATGATTCAAGCCTGCACCTTCGCTTCTGGGGAAGGCAACTACTGTGATACCTGCTAGTGTTTTAAAAGTAGTATGGCTGCTAAGTCATGCCTTGGGCAGCTCTTTATCCCTTTTGATAAAGGAGGTGTAAAGCATTTCTCATTAGCTCTGACAGAACCACCATGTCTTTCATGTGTACTGTATTCATCATTACTTAGTCCTAAGTGAGTGAAAAATATTAACTTATACATGTGCATCAAACCAGTGTCAATACAGGTCTTGATTGTTGATTTTTCCCAACAAAGTACACAGAATGGTAATGAGAGCTTACATGCTACAGTCTTTAAACTATGATGTTAAGATAAAGAATTTATTCTCCAAATATAGACGTTCTTCCTTAGTTTTCGGTCTGTTTTGCTAATTGGCCCAGGGAGAGGGGTGTCCCACAGAAAAGGACGCAGGCACCAACAGAAAGTTTGGCTTATTTTACTGTCTATTTCAGAGCATTACAAGAATAAGGCAATGCTCTAGTTTTAAGCATCAAGGAGAACAAGCAGGGTAATGCACCTAACCACTACTGTATAGGATTAGTTATAGTTAGGAAGAAAGATCCATCACCAATCGCCCTATTAGTATCATCCAGATCCTCAGTCACTGGGGAGCCCCTGTTGCAGCGAGGATTCTGGAGAGCCCTCCTGGCAATTGGGAAGTCCTACGCAGTGCGTCCACTCAGGTGAGGTCTCCAAAGTTGCTGCAAGACAGTCTGGCTTATTTACTGTTAAATAAACAACCTTACATTACTGCAAATGCGGGAACATCTGCTGTTGTTTGCTCCGTTGGATTCCTCCCACAGCTTGTCGAGGACTAAAGGAAGAATACAAGGGAGTCTCCCGATCTATTTCGGTCCTT